GAAGAAAATAAACAACGAAAAATTGATAAATATATGGTTGATGAAAGTAGTCAAATTGTTAATGTTGAAGATTTATTAAAACATATTTCATACGATAATTATTCAAAAGCTATTGAAATTATTGATGGAAATTTATCAAAATTTAAAACATCTATAAATCGTCTTGATTTACTTACAAGAAAATTTCGTTTACAACGAAAATATTTACAATCATTAAGAAAGAAAAATATCTTAACAAATGAAGAAAAATCTAAATTAAATTATCTTGAAATTGATTATTTTGCAACAATGACTGAAATGATTCATCTTGAAAATATTGTTGATGTATTCAATGAAAAGAAAAAATATATGGAAGAACTTCTTAATAATTCACCATTCGATCAAGAAAAATGGTATCGATTTCAAATGGAAAAAATCAATAGTCGATTACCAAGATGTCAAGAAGGTATACCCGATAGTCGAGTACCTGATTTTATCCCAGATAATTGGCAAATTGAATTTCTTGATGCTGTTGATAAACAACAATCAATTATAATTGTATCACCAACGGCTTCCGGTTAATTCCACTGTTTTTTTTTCTTCTTATTAATTTGTTGTCATTTCATTTATAAATCTAGGTAAAACTTATGCATCATATTATGCTATGAATAAAGTACTCAAAGATCGAGATGATTCAAATGGTATTTGTGTATATGTAGCACCAACGAAAGCACTTGTTAATCAAGTTGCTGGTAGGATTTTATCTGTTTTATTCGTTGATCAAAATCAATCTATAAATATATTTCAGCTACCATTCATTATAAATTTGGTCCTGTATTTGGAATTTTTACACGAGATTATCGTACAAATATGGAAGGATGTCGAATATTAGTTACTGTTCCACAATGTATGCAAATTCTTCTTCTATCACCTAGTCATCAACGTTGGTGTCAAAGAATAAAATATGCTATTTTTGATGAAATTCATTGTATGTCTGGTGAAGCTGGATCTGATGTTTGGGAAAAAACAATGTTACTTATTAATTGTCCTATGATTGGTCTTTCAGCAACAGTTAATAATGGAGATGAATTACGTCATTGGATTGAATGTATTGAAAATCAACGTTCTAAATTATTTCAAACATCAAAAACACGTCGAGTATGTTTTATAGCTCATCATGAGCGTATGGCTGATTTAAATAAATATTTATATTCAAATCGACAATTACATCCAATTCATCCAATTGGTCTAATGAATGCAAAACAATTAATAACACGAGGTGTTCCCAAAGATTTTTCATTATCACCTTACGAAACTTTACAATTAAATGATGCTATGAAAAACTTATCAACTAATAGAAAGTAAGTCTACTTTAAGTATTGAAAAAAATTCTCAAACTTCTTTCATTTAAAAAGTAATAAAAAAGAATGCTACTGTATTAATAACCATGTCTAGGCAGAGTTTATATTAGAGATGCAACGGTGATTGACAGTCACTTATGCAATGTCACGTATATTAGTAGTCATTGAAAATGTAAAATCTGGATACTATAGTAGGCTTCTATTTGATCCAGAATTTTCTTTTTCACATGATTTTATTTCTTGAGTTAAATGTAGGAGAAATTCGAGTAAATGTAAATCAATAAACTAACAGACTTTTCTGTTTTATATTTGAAAATTTTTTACTTCCTGAATGGCATGATCTATAGAACGTGAAACGCGTACATTTCTGCAGATTCATTTTCATCGATTTCTCTGTTTTAAGTATACAGAAAAATGACCTTTGAAAATAGTAAAATACCACATAAGTCCATTAACGATTGAATTATATTGGGTATGATTCTTTAATCGGGCTTTTATGCCACCCACAAGTAGTGCTCGATCAAATTAATAGAAATTTATAAAAGTTCATTCTCATGTGTTGTCTACTACAAATTATTATAATTTTACTGAGTGCTTTATCTCAAGTAAAATATTTGTGATAAAATCAAAGTTTAGAATTTCAACCTAAAAAGAATCACCCAATGGTAACGCTGTTGAACCTTCAAATGTCTGGAAATTTTCAGTACAATTTCGTAATTCGTTTATATTACGAATACCTTAAATAGAATAAAAAAATTCTATACAACTATAATAATTTGGAAGGGAAAGTGCATGGAAAAAACCTTGTATAGAGATCTACAAATTTCGTCAGGATCTACTGATTGGTAAAGTATGAGTTTTATTGAGGAGTCACATTTGAAGAACGTTATCTTGTACGCTTTTTGGTTAATTACTAAAGCCCTTATATTCACTAACCACTAATACATAGTTTCAGTATCTCCGACAACCTTCAAATAATAATAAATATTCTTTTATCATTTGATAGAGAAAATGGTGTCGAAGTAAATTCAATATCAGCATTAACACAATATTTTGAACCTGATTGGATAATCGAACGAACTAAATGTAATAATTATTCGCTACTTGTTCGTAATCAATTTCATAGTTTAATTGATAATAAAGAAAATACAACTATTGATTCAATTGTAACATCTCTTAAACCAAATTTCTTCAAAAGATATTCATTATCCTGAAACAAAACGAACATCATTATTAATTATTGATTTTATATTAACATTAAAGGAGAAAAATCTTCTACCTTGTATTGTTTTTTCGGATAATCGAATGTTATGTGAAACAATGGCTACATGTGTTGCTGAATATTTTGAAAAATTAGAAAAAAATTTAAGAGAAACAAAATATAAAAATCAAATTGAATCATTAGAAAAACGTTTAGAAACAATTGAAAAAACTACAAAAAAAGTCAAACCAAAAAAAGTATCAAAATCTTCAAATAAACAAAATCATGATGAAGATAATATTACGCAATTAGAAGTATTAGAAGAAGAAAAACATAATCAAATTATACTTTCTGGTCTTGAACAACAATTATTGGATGGTATTTTAGATGAAGGTACATTAGCAAATCGACATGGATGTGATCGAGAATTAGTTGATTCTCTATTAGAACGAGCATCATCGGAAAATCCAAGATTAGTTGGATATATGCAACGAGGTGTAGCTTATCATCATGCTGGTTTAAATAATAAAGGTCGAGTAGCTGTTGAAGCACTTTTTCGTAATCGATATGTTCAAGTGGTTTTCTCTACGGCAACACTTGATATGTAACAAAAGATCTTTTTACTTTATTCCTTAACAATAACAGCTAGAAGAGATCGGAGAAAAGATTTTATTAGATAAAATAATCTTATGCATTTTTGCATATATTGTCGAATACTGAAACAAATTTCTTTTCCATAGTGTTCGTTCTTGTGAGCTGCGCTTTGTTTTATTCGATAGACAGATATGTTCTTTTTCGAATAAGACAAAGGAATCTTATATTCGATCTTCAATACGAAAGCAATTATCAGTTGTATACAAAACATTTTCTAAGATTTTAAGAGTTTTGAACATGAAAAAATTCTTTCCTGCTCTCGAAACGGTAAGTGTTCTCTTTAGAACGAGAGTAGCCCAAGTCGTATACTTTGAAGTTTATTCCAAAAGAATTTGTATCCGTGAAAGGTGTACTTTATTTTATTCGGAAATATTGTCTCTATTACGTGAGGTTATTAGCATTGCTTTTTTCAGAGAAGTCAGAAAATCGATTTTTTTTGTAGTTCTAGTTTTCCAGAGGTTTTTCATATAAGCCTGTAATATAGTACTGCACAGGTTGAGTTTTTTGAACTTGAGCCCGATCCGTCAGAGAAACGAACTTCAATCTTAGAAGAATTTTTTATTTTTTGCAAACAAAGAAATCTATTCCGCATGTAATCGTGTATTGTGCTGAGAAATCATCCAATAGACTAGCACTTTACTGTTCTTTGTCCATAAGGTACATCAGAAACAGAAAGTAGACAAATAAATTCTAAGAAAAATAACCTGAAGAAACTCGCACCACTTCACCCGATCCGACCTACCAAAGTTGCACCCGAATCCGGCCGTGGGTCGGGTTGGGCTGCAGTACTCTAGCCTGTAAACAGGCATTTAATAAGTAACTCTTCTAATGGTCAATTCTTTCAGCTACTCAAGGCTTTTCTTCAATTTATTCTTACTATTATCGTTAATAATAGAAGTCAATAGTAAAAACCTTTTGTTCTCATCTTCTAGGATATGAATTAATAAAAGTTCTCTAATTTTTTTAGCTTTGGACATTCATATGCCAACAAAAACTGTTGCTTTTGTTAAAGATTCAATCTATCTTGATGCATTACAATATCGACAATCATCAGGTCGTGCTGGTCGTCGTGGTTTTGATGTTCAAGGTCATGTTGTATTTGTTGATATACCTTTACCAAAAATTAGTCATTTACTTATATCAGCTATACCAAATATCCGTGCACATTTTCCAACAAGTGTTACATTTTTAATGCGTCTTCTTCATCTGTGCTCAAATGCCAAAGATTCAAAGGATGCAATAAATCGATCATTAACTGCATTACAATGTTCTTTACTTGCACAATCGTCTACAAAACATCAATTGATAGATATTCAAATACATTTTCATTGTTTATTTACATTAGATTTTCTTTATCGATTAAATTTAATTAATCAACATGGTGATCTTATTGGTTTAGCTGGTCTTCTAACACATTTACATTATTTTGAGCCAGCAAATATTTTGCTTGTCTATCTTATGGATACTCAATATTTTCATTTAGTTAAAGATGAAATTGATATTATGACTATATTTGCTTATCTCTTTACTTATATGCCATGGTGAGTTAATGAAAAAGTTTTGGTAATAAGGTTTTTCATTACTTTCCGAGATATCACAAAAATGTTGAGATTTTCAGAACACATAGATCTCAAAGATTTAAGCGAAAATTTCCATTCTGGATGCTGTTTTCTATGAGATACTGAGCTCACAATATGTCAAAAGCTTTGGTTTCATTTGTCCAGCATGCTATACTTGACTGAGTTGAATATTTTTTTTGCATATGCTTGGCACTATTAGGAATGGACATCTCTCTTTGGTTTCTTTATATATCTCCGTTAAATAGTAGTTAGTACATCCCAGGTGATTCAATCCGACCTGTAGATCCTACCGGAAACTATCGGATCCGATGTCGGATCACACCGGAATTCGTCGGGTTCCCAACTAAATCCGATCGGAACCCAACCGTATTTCACAGGATTCCTAACTAACGGATTCCGAACTGGATTACGTCGGAAATGATCCGATCGGATCCTGTCGGAACTGCTTGTCAGATAATGCCGTAAC